GTTAGGTGCATATATATTTAAGGTTAGGGCTAGGGTTAGGGTTTGCTGAGCTGCCAGGCTCCAGGCTGGTACCGGGAAGTGTCTGCAAAGAGTTCTGTGATGCGATCTATCTTCAGGTCTGTCAGCCATGGATACCACCACCTGTTCTGGTGGAGGTAGCAGGAGAATGAAGTGGATTCTGTGAGAGTCCTTGGTTATTGTTTTGTTTAGTGCATTCGTTTTCTTAAATACTGGTTATGCTTATAACGAAGTTGTCACATAGACAGATTCAAGACCTCTGGTTAGCCAGGATATTACGGATAGTGAAATTAGCTGTTGTTTTCTCCTTTCTTGGAGCAGGTTGGTTCCGTAATGAGTTGCTGTAATGGCTTGAGTTGGTTGTCCTCCAGCCAGGAGGTGACGCTTTAAAGAGAGCATCAGCTGTAGTAATATTGGGGGATGCAAGCTTGCCCTAAGGTCAGTGGGATAACTATTCAGGTTTCTCAGGCACTGGCGGGGGTGGGGGGGCTATAGAGCTCCTGCAAGTTTATGTCTTTTGTCTTCAGCTACCAAGGTGGGTAGAAAAAGACCATCACGTGGGAGTAGGGCTAGGTGTGCCTGAGCTCAGACTCTTCTTGGGTGGTGCCTGCAGAGACCCCTTGGGGGGACGGGGCAGTGGTTCTCAGGCCAATGGAGTTGTGTTCCAAGGAGGATTATGGCTGCTTCCGGTGCTTCGTACAGATTGCCAGGGAAGTGGGGGAAAGCTGGCAGTGACAGACCTTACCCAGCTCCCACACAGCCAGCAAGGCCAGTCTTAGTCCTGCCAACAACCAACAGAGCTGAATTTGTTTACAGGCCTCTGGTGCACAGGGCTGAGATCTTGCCCCAGGCTGCAAGCCTCCCTGCTGAGAAAGCAAGCAGGGCGTTCAGGCCTCACCCCTCCCTGACTGCAGCAGCTTCTGTGCTCATATCTGCACTTCCTATTCGCCCCCACCCCTCAGATTCTGCCTAGGAAAATTCATACTTGATCAAAATTATTATAGAGTTCAGCCGGAAGTCTCCTTCTTCCTGTGGCCCTTCCCCAGTTCCACTGGCTGCCCTCCCCAAGGAACCCTGTGAGGTAAAGTCAGAAATGGCTTCGCTGGGCTTCCCTGGGGACCAGGAGTGCCTACAGGGCACTTCCCATGGCTGCTTCTACTTTTGTATTTTGCTCAGCTATCTAAATTCATTTCAGCTCTAGGTAAAGTTAAATCCTTCTTCCATGATCTAGAGTTCCAGGTTCCCCAGTGAGGATGTATGTTCAGAGGCAGACTTTCCTCCTCTTACACTTTGGGCACTGGCTGTTTTTTTGGCTGTTTCTTGGAGTTTGCAGTAGCAAGCCACTCCTTTCAAAGGGTCTGTGAATTCTTTCAGTTTCCCTGGTATGTTCCTGTGGTGGTTCTTGGAGCAAAAGTTCACAATGTGAGTCTCCAAATGCTGCTCATTATTGTATTTTTTTAATTGTAAAATTCTGTTTCTTTATATCTTCTCTTTATTTGCAGAGGCTTTTTATTTCTTTGCTGAGGCTTTTAATTTCTTTATTTGTTTTAAGCATGTGCATAATTGCTTGTTGAAGTATTTTTAAAATCATGGTGTTTAAAAATCTTTACCAGATAATTCTATTATCCTTATCATCTTAGTGTTCGCATCAATTGATTGGCTCCTCATTACTGCTGGATGGGGATGGGAGTTCTGGATCCCATGTGGTCTCCATTGATGTGGGGCTTATAACCACTGGTAGTGATGAGAGTCCTGACTAGGCTGCCTCTGATACCCCAGTGGAGAAGGGGAGGAGTATCTAGTTATTTCTAGGAGGGGGCAGATGTCCAGGCTTCCCATGTAGTCCTTACTGATATTGCCAGGGAAGGTAGCTCACCAGCTATCTCAGATGAAAGTCTCATCTCTCCCCTTAGGTCTTCTCTGACATCACTCTGGCAAGGGTGTTGGAGTTTCTTGCTATAGTGTCTTAAGGGTGAAAGTCTAGGCTATCTACTCAGGCTTTGCTGGTATGGGTGTGGGTGTGGATGAGGCCATGGGTTTTTTGTTTTTTAAAATGATATTTGGCTGAAGTAGAGTGGCTATTGTCCAAGAGTTTTCTGTCATGCTAGAACACTCCTTTCCTGGTCCTCTGGCTAGAGAGAGCAGGCATTTTTTGGGAGTCTGTTTTTTATGCACCAGTTGTGTTGGGTTTCTGGGTTGCTGGCTTCTTCAGCTACTTTATCTCCTTGGTTTTTGGTGTGCATCATCCTTTACCTGGGCTACTGAGTTAGACCCCCAATAAGTCTTTCAGACCATCTCTGGCTTCTCCAACACATCCTCCACACTTCTGCCAGTGTTTTCGTTCTACAAAGCAGAACTGACCATGTCATTCTCCTGTTAATATTATTTACTGTCCATAAAATAAAGCTCAACTTCTGCAAGGCACTGCAGATCTACCAAAATGCAATTCCAACTTTGCCTTTGCAGCTTTGACTTCTGTTCAGTTTCTCTGCCTATCCCTTTGCTCCTATGCTAAAGATGTGCCATGTACTTTAGCTCCTGCTCTTCCCTCTGTCTCCAGTGCTTTTCTTTACTCTAGCAAAGTTAAGAGCACTGGAGTTGGACTGTTTAAATTTGAACTTCATCATTTTCTAGCTAGGTGATCTTGGGCAACTTTACCTCTCCATAGCTCAGTTTTCCCATCTGAAATATGAGGATAATAACATCTACCTCATGGGACTGTTATGAAACTTAAATTAAATAGCACTTTGCAAATTGTCGGGTTGAAGAGAAAGGTCTCAATAAATGTGAGCTATTAGTATAATTCATTATTAAATTAATACTCAGTAGTTAAATTAATATGCAGTAGCTCAACATTCAATTTGAATGTTACCCCTCTATGAAGTCTTTATGGGTCCTCTGCATTGCTACCTTATTATTGAAATTAATTATTCTTTTCCCAACTGTCCACTTAATTTACATTGCATTTATACTTGATTCTGTTTGTAGTGTAGGTAGGTAGATTGCTGACCACATTTGCTCATTTCTGGACTTAGTCATTCAAAGGAAGCCCTGTGAGTCAATCACTGGGCATGGAGGTGAGTAACATGTGGACCTTCAGAGAATTCTCAGTTCCTTAATAGCTGCAGATTGCTTGCTAAATAAATGGTTCTAGTGGGGCTTAATAAATATTTATTGATTTAAGACAAGCAAGCTCTGCCTTGGGATAGGAAGGCAGGCAGCCTCCAGGTTAACAGCATCACAGTGTGTTAAAGTTAGAAACATTTTGTGAACCACCCTCGGTACTGACCTCTGCATAGTGCTAAGTGAAGGCCTCGGGCTCTGTGTTAGAGCCCTGCTGTAACAGCATTGGTATTCCTGTGGTCTGTGGCCACCAACAAGTGAGTCTTGTCAAGGACCATATCATTTCTTAACCCTAGTTCTCTTAGGTTCAAATAAAGACAAAGATTTTTCTTGAGGTCTCAGGAGTTATATCAGTGTCATTGAGGACATTGTTCATTCTGCTTTAAGGCCCATGTCTGACAATCTTAGCCCCACACACCTTGACTCCCATCACTGAGACAGAAATTTGGTTTAAAGCACTTATGTGCCAGGAATTGTGTTAGCTACCACAAATGCAGAAGGATGGGACACAAGAGCCCCCTCGACATCCAGGAGCTCATAGTCTCCATGCTGGAGCAATCATTAGAAGCACAGACTTGATTGTTTCACTGTGGCCACCTTACCAACAATGCTTTGGTAGATAGGCTGGATATGAAGCCAGATATTTTAGGCCAAGGATGGACTGATGGAAGAAATGGGAAGAGGAAATATAACCTCCTATGAAGATGTATGTCTGTGAAGGGAAGTAGAATGGGTGATAAGAAACTACAGCGGAGGCTGAGCAAAGGGAAGATTGTTTAAAGGTGGGGGAAATTACTTAAGTTTATAGTAGATAAAAAGAGATAAGGGCAGTAGATCAAAAGATAGATTGAGAGAGTGATTGGGAAAGAATGAGCAAATATTTGAGAAAAAACAATAGATATTCATATGCACGTACATATATACATGCATGCATACATACATATACACATTGTATATTTATATATGTATGTATATAAGTATAGAATGTATATATGTATGTGTGTTTTTATATATGTATTTATATATGGGGCAAGAAGGTGAAGAGAAAGTGAAAGACTAAAATTTTGAGAAAGAGAATTATACAAATATATGTAATCACTCTATATACATCTTATCTATTTATCTACCTGTCTATCTATCAATCCATCTATCTGCCTACCCATTTATATAGAGAGATGGAGATCAGCCAGAAAAGGGAAAGTCAAAGAAGAATCATTCATTAATGGAACCATGTCCTGTAGGAAGAAGGAGGAAATAATTTGAAAGCACAGGTGAAAACTCCTTAGAGACAGAAGGAAGGAAGGTCAGAATGAGATGGAAGGGAGGAAAGTTAGAGTTCATGTAGGGTGCCCTCAATTTCTCTGGAAAGCTGAGAAAATTGAATGAGAAGATTGAAGAATGAGAAAGTGAGAAAGTAAGATGTCAGGGACATACATTCTGGCTTTCCTCGCAGCACTGGGGGCCTCAACTGATTTTGTAAATTCAGCATTTGCAATGCTGCAAATATGAATGATTATACTTTTTCAGAAGCACTAGCCTGTAGGGAGGAGAGAAGGCAGGTGAGGGTTGGAGTGCTTTGGAAGTTAGGCCTGAGGTTGAGGGCAGCAGAAGGGTTCTGGTGAGAGTAGCATGTAGTGTAGTTGTAGTAGCCAGGCTGTGCAGAGGAAAGATGAATCTAGGATGAGAGTGATAAACTGAGTGAGCAGGGAGGGAATGACAAGATAGAAGCCTCAGAGAGCTTGGGGAGCATGTTTACTTTGATTCAGGTATGGAGAGTGCATAGCAGTATTCTCATACTGCTAATAAAGATATACCCTTGACTGGGTAATTTATAAAGGAAAGAGGTTTAATTGACTCACAGTTTTGTGTGGCTGGGGAGGCCTTAGGAAACTTACAATCATGGAGAAGTACTGAGCAAAAGGGGGAAACGCCCCTTATAAAACCAACAGATCTCGTGAGAACTCACTCACTACTAGGAGAACAGAAGCATGGGGGTAACTGCCCCATGATTCAATTACCCCCCTCACTGCGTCCCTCCTACAACACTTGGGGATTGTGGGAACTATATTTCAAGATGAGATTTCAGTGGGGACACAGCCAAACCATATCAGAGAGGTAGGATAGAGGTTCTGATTGGAGAGTGAGATTTCTCAGTGTGAGCCATTTATCCAGCAAACAGTCCCTGAGCGCTAGCTCTGTGAACTTATTGTTGGAAACTCTGAGAACAAAGATAAGAATTAAGGCATGGTCCTTGCCCTTAAGGAGTTCACAGCCCAGTATTCAGAGGTAAAACCTTTCCAGGTGATGACAAGGTCCAGGATATGTCTCTGGAAATGATTCCTTGTGATGGTTGGGAGGGGAAGATTGATGGGGCAATGGAAACCAAATGGCTGGCAGGCTGGCATGTTAGATGTATCATCCCCAGGTGCTTATCTGCCCTACAAATAAAATCGGGGTTTCTCTCAGCTCAGTTATTTCTCTGGGGCCATGTGTATCCTCTCCGCAGCTGGTGATATGAGGACTGTTTTTCCATTTGAGCTTTTGCTCTTCAGACAACATGTGACTGTCCTAGGGTCAGTGCCTGATGGTTTTCACAAGTGTAGAGTGGAAGGTCAATGGGCTTCAAAGACCTACTTCTGCACTTTGGTATATGAGTCTGTAAACAGTTACCGATCCCATGCTTCCAGTTTTCTTTTCTTTCTTGCCCTTATTTTCTTGACCTGTAAAATTAACATAGGATGGTGCCACCAATCCTTTTTGGGGAAGAAGCAGCTGAGATGTGTCTCTATAAAGTCATCAATAAGCAGAAGTCAGAAGCTGCAGTAGTTGGCAGGGTGCGATGATAATGAATGAATGAGTGTGCACATGTGAAGTGGGGACAGCTCAGTGCTCAGAGCTCCATGAATGATTTCATTCTTCCTGAAAGCTTCTAAGGGAAGCTGGACACAGAGAGGAGATTTCCTACCTGGGCTGAGTAGAGGCCTTGACACTTCAGCATGGAAGGCACAGGGCGTAGGAATCTACATATCAGCATTTCCAGGATTCTAGTGCCTACAGAGCTGTGTGAGACTTCATTTCATGGCCCATCTGGGCATTGCTAGAAGGGAACAGAATTCCCTCCCTTCCTGTTCCAGAGAGGCTAGCCTGCAAACTTCACTGATGAGAGGCCAGATTAGCACATCCCACACTAGCTGTTTTGTGGATTTTGGCTGACAGGAGTGGAGAGGAAGCATGTTTCTTTGATCTTTTACCTCTTGCATCCTTTCTGCTATGACCTTGGGAGATTGGTTTATCTGGCTGTCTAGTTCAAATTCCAGATTAACCTCTGTCAGTGGGCTTTCTCCTCTCTGGGGATGCTATTCATCCTTCCAAGGATCCAGACCCTAGCCACCAAAGCTTCTCTGCTGGGTTCACACACCAGGTCTAAGCTATGATGTGATCTCCTGGGTATGTGACGGTTTTTGTGCTGCTGCTTTTTTCTTTCAGAGTCTGAGAAGCCAACTGGGGCCAAGCAAGTTTTAGAACCTCTACTGGCTGATGCCAACATCATCAGAGATGAACTGTTCTTACCAGAAACTTCTCTGCTCCTGACAGCACACCTCTCCCCAGGTAGCTAAAGGGACAATGAGATTATCACCCCCTTAACACTATGTAATGACACAGTCACCTGTATGGGGGTGACATACCAGGGGACACTCAGTTCCAATTGCAATATCATAGGCACAATATTAGAAGAATATCTAGACACTCTTATAGGCAAAGAAAGGCATTTGGAAGATTCATGGGGGTCTTTCCTTTGCTTAAATCATGAATTTTTATTAAATTGTACACAAATGCATTTTTCCATCTATTCATATGATCTTTTTCCTGTTAATCTATAAATATGATAGATTACACTTATTTACAATCCGATTTTTAAAAATAAGTGCAATAACATCTCTTACTTAAAATTAAGCCATATTCATATTGTGATATGAATTAGAATTTTATTGACTTCAAATTTAATACCACTAAAAGGTAACTCTGCCATCATTCTTATTAACTTAAAACCAAAATTTGATTGCAAGATTCTTTAAATAAAGTAACCTTCAAAATTCACTGTTTTACCTCACCAACACAATTTTTAAATTGTGGTAAAATACATATGACAAAATTCATTATCTTAAATTACTGTTAAGGGTATAGTTCAGTGGCATTAAGTATATTTACATTACTGTGCAACCATCACTGTCATCCTTCCCCAGAACTCTTTTCATCTTGCAAAACAGAAACTTTGTACCCTGTATCCTGTTCAATAATTATCTTTTCCCTGTCTCTGCTCCTGACAACCGCTACTCTACTTTCTGTCTCTATGAATATGACCACTGTTGGTGCTTCATACATGTGGAATCATATAATATCTGTCCTTTTTGACTGGCTTATTTCACTTAGCCTAATGTCCTCAAGTTTCATCCATGTTTATGCCTTCCTTTTTAAGGCTGTGAATAATATTGCATTGTATGTGTGGACAACATTTTATTTATTCATCCATCTGTGGATGGACATTTGGGTTACTTCCACCTTTTGGCTGTTGTGAATAATGCAGCTCTGAACATTGGTGTACAAATTCTGTTCAAATCTCTGCTTTAAAATCCTTTGAGTATATACCCAGAGGTGGAATTGCTGGGTCATAGGATAATTCTATTTAAACACTTTTTAAGGAATAGTCGTCCTATTTTCCACAGTGGCTGCACAATTTTACCTTCCCATCAACAGTGTACAAGTTCCAATACTTATTTTCTGATTTTTGATAGTAGTCATCCTAATGGGTATGAGATGATATTTCACTGTGGTTTTGATTTTGATTTCATTAATGCTTGGCTAGGTGGAGCATCTTTTCATGTGCCTATTGACTACTTGTGTATCTTTGGAGAAATATTGCTTCAAGTCTGTTGCCCATTTTTAAATTGAGCTCTTTGTTTTTAGTTGTTGAGTTGTAGGAGTCCTGATATTAGGAATTAGGATAGGTAGCAGTCTGGATATTAACCCTTTATCAGATATATTATTTGCAAATATTTTCTCCCATTGTGTGGGTTGCCTTTTCACTCTGTTGTACCCTGTGATGCACAGAAGTTTTTAATTTTAATAGAGTTCATTTCTTTTTTTGCTTTTGTTGCCTGTGCTTTTGTTGTCACATCCAAGAAATCATTGTCAACCCCAATGTCATGAATCTTTACCCCATATTTTCCTCTAACAGTCTTCTAAAAATTTTTTCTAAAATTTTTAGCTGTTACATTTAGGTCTTTGATACATTTTGAGTTAATTTTTTATATAGTATAAGGTAAGGGTCCAACTTCATCCTTTTGCATGTGGACATCCAGTTTTTCCAACACTGTTTGCTGAAAAGGCAGTCTTTTCCCATTGAATGGTCTTGGCATGCTTGCAAAAATAATTTGAACATATATGTAAGGGTTTATTTTTGGATGTTCTATTCTATTCCATTATGCTACATGTCTGTTTTTATATGCTAGGCCTATGCTGTTTTGATTACTGTAGATTTATAATAGGTTTTGAAATCAGGAAGGGTGAGATGTCTAACTTTGTTAATTTTCAAGATTGTTTTGACTATTTGGGGTCCCCTGAGACTCCGTATGAATTTCAGTATGGATTTTTTTATTTCTGCAGAAAACGTCATTGAGATTTTGGGACTGCCATAAAACTTCTGGATTATTTCTTATAGGAAACATTTGCCACACAGATGAAGAGAAGGGGGGCATTTAGGCGAAAGGAAGACTGTGACCAAAAGCATGAAGAGAGGAAAGGGCTTGCTCTACTTGGGGAAACTAAAAGTAATCTAGTATTGTTGAAGCTCTAAGCTTTCTTATTATCTGTGTGTATATATGTGTGTGACTGTCAGCTTGGATAGGAGACACATTAGGAGGTATGGAAGGGGTCAGATATTGTGAAAGTGGATGTGTATTGTGTTAAGAAGGTCAATGGAAATTCATTAGACTTGGGTGGTGGAGTGATGTGATCCTATTTGTACTATGGAAAAATGACCCTGTTAATAAGCATGGGTGTGCTATACTGAGCAGGAAGGAGTTACCAGCAGAAAGACCAGATAGGAGATTGTTGCAAAACTCCCAGAAATAAAATGATAAGACTTGCACCCTGGTAGCATTAGTGGAGACGGGAAGGAGGGAATGGATTTGAAATAGACATGGCTCACTACACACTCAGACATGTTCCAGTAGCTTCACTCTTTTCCTGGGTCTTGAAGTCCTTAAATCTGGAGAACAGCCTCTGAACTCACCATTCACCTGTGTCATCCAGTTGTCACCTTTTAGGAACACAAATGACTGTTGAAAGAGGCACTCTGTTCTGGCTCAGAGGCTCAGGCTCAGGGGTCCCTTAACAGCAGCCAGTCTCTTTTCAAAGCCCCTGGAGCTCCCACTCCTTGTGCTGTCACTCTCAGAGCCTCTGGCTGCTCCAAGGACTTTGTGGTTGTTTCTTTGTACGTGTGAGTTGGTTGGTGTTTTCTTGTTTTGGTTTTTCCTGAGGCCTGCTGAAATCTACCAGCCTGAGAATGTTCTGTTGTAGCCCATTCTATTTACCTCGTAGAACTGCCACTCTCCAGGCCTTCTAATTGTGGCCCATGTTACATCTGTGACCCACTGAGAACCCAGGTTCATTCCCCAAGCCTGACACCCCTCTACACTCTGTGACTCAATTCCCTGCCTTCAGTTCATAGCAATGTCGAATGAGCCATTGGGTATTTGCCACCTCTCTCCCACTTCATGCTCAGGATCTCTCTGTAAAGCCTTTGCTGAGTAACTGGATAATGCTAATGCCAGGCTTGAGCTGCAGCAGCTGGGGAGTGGATGTGCTCCTCCAGCCAGAGGCTGAGCA